TATTTTTACATGGTCTGTGAACTAAGAATGGTTTTTACATATTTTAATATTTGTAAAAAATTGAAAGAAGAATATTTTGTAACTTGGGAAAATCACGTAGAATTCCAATTTTTGTAGTTACAAATGAAGTTTTATTGGAACACAGCCTTGCTAATTTTGCAAAGCTGAAAACTGTTTACAGCCTGGTGCTTTATAGAAAAAGTCTGCCACCCTCTAACTTACTTATTTACTTACTTACTTATATTTTTTGGACCCACCATGTGGGATGTGGGATCTTAGTTCCTTGACCAGGGATCAAACTCACACCCGCTGCAGTGGAAGCACAGAGTCTTAACCACTGGACTGCCAAGGAAGTCTCAACACCCCCTAATTTATTATATGACGTATATTTTATAATGATAAAAATATGGTAGCATTAGAGAAGAATTCTAGAAAGAAAAAGACGCATAATTCTACTAACAAAAGTTGCTAAAATTTTCCATGTTTTCTTCTACTCTTTGATAAAAGAGTCAAATGTATTTTTATTGAAATCAGGCAAAGATTTTTTGCATTCTGCCTTTTCCCTTCTGGACATCACTTCATAAACCTCTCTGACGTGCTATGTAGCATGCAAATTTGCAAGATTTAATGACATAGCATGGTTCAAGTTTACAAACCACACACCATAATTTGTTTAACCACCTTCTCATGTTTAAACCTTTTGCAATCTTTTGATTTACCCCATTTGTTATTGGTTACAAGGCAAAGAACACCTTTGTATACAGAGCTTTCCCCCTCCCTCTTTTTAACTGACTTTCTTAGAATAAATTCCTAGGAAAGAAATGCTTTATCTTCCTTCCACCCCTTCAGACTCGGTTCTCTCTTTCTTTACTCCTATAACCTCTTGCTTCTTCCGTCATTTTGCTTAGCCTTTTGCCTTCCCTGACATAACTGATCTCTCTCAGTTGACTCTCTCAGTGGTTCTTTAGGTGCAGAAAAAGCCCTTTTGTTGTTAGATTCCAGTTTGACCTCACCATCCCTCTGGGGGTCCAACTTTCTGCAGTACATTGTGAAGGCTGCTTCTTGCTCTCATTTCTTAATTCTTCTCTCAGCACAGGGTCCACTCGACTCCTACTCTGAGATTAAAGTCTGCTAGTGATCTCTGGGATTCCCCGGTGGCTCAGATGGTAAAGAGCCTGCAATGTGGGAGACCCGGGTTTGATCCCTGGGTTGGGAAGATCCCCTGGAGAAGGAAATGGCAACCCACTCCAGTATTCTTAGCCTGGAAAATCCCATGGATGGAGGAGCCTGGCGGGCTATCGTCCATGGGGTCACAAGAGTCAGACCCTTCACTTTCACTTTTAGTGATCTCTTTGGAACTTAGTCCAAAGGCTTTTTTTTTTTTTTCTTGATTTTTATCTCCCTCTGTAGCTGTTACTCTGAAAGGTCCTTCAGGTCTTTTTCTTTCCCTGCATGTCTCCATTCTTGGTTTAACTCTTCCATGGAACTTTCTCTAAGGATTGAGATAAAATCACCCCTTTTGAGTCCACATTCTACCCAGACATAGCTCATTCCCTTTGCTCCAAACTCTGCTTTGCTCCAATCTGAGTTGTTTTACTCTCTTCTGAATGAAGATGAAGTTAAAGAGGGAACAGTTAAAAACTTGCAGCCAAACAACATTCATTGAGAGTTTTCTACTTACAGTTTCAAAATAATAAATAAATTTTGAAATAAATTTAAGGATCATAGGTCACTCTGTTCCACGAGCAAAAGGTCTCCAAAGTGAGGTCTACAAGCATCAGGGTCACCTGGGAGGCGGCTGTTGCTGCCGTTCAGTTGCTCAGTCGTGTCTGACTCTCTGCGACCCATGGACTGCAGCACGCCAGGCTTCCCTGTCCATCACCATTTCCCAGAGTTTGCTCAAACTCGTGTCCATTGAGTCAATGATGCCATTCAACTATCTCATCCTCTACCACAAAAGTTCCGCCCCAGACCTACTAAATCAGAATCTAGACTTATAACATGATCTCCAGGTGACTCACATGTACATTAAAGTATGAGAGGGACTTCCCTGGTGGTCCAGTGGTTAAGAACCCACCCGCTAATGCAGGGGACACAGGTCCGGGAGAATCTTACGTGCTATGTGGCAGCTAGGCCCTTGGGCCACATCTTCTGAGCCCGGGCCCTCCAGAGCCTGTGCTCTGTAGCAAGAGAAGCTACTGCAATGAGAAGCATGCACACCGCAACAAAAGGCAGTCCCTGTTGTGCAGCAACGAAGGCTCAGCACAACCAAAAATAAATAAATTTTTAAAAAGTATAAGAAGCACCAATATAATGGACCAGTCAGTGCGTATCACTAAGAGTCTCTACCAAAAGTGCTCCATGCACCCCTTGGGAACCTCAAACCAATGATTTTTCACCTTAAGTTTGGTGTGAGGGTGGTCTTGCTGCCACAGCTATCATCTTTTGATGGACAGGGGGCTAGGTGGATGACCTCTGTCCCTCATCATTTTAGGTACAAGTTCATCCCTCTGAAGCTGCAAAAGGGTTTGAAGAGGACATTCTCTCCCAGGAAAGGAAGGCTGTTTTTCAACAAAGAGCATAAATAAGCTTATAGGCTCTTTCGTAAGGTGGACACACCTGCCAGGGATTGGAAAAATGGTTTCTATCATCTTTTCCAACAAAAAAACGCACGTGAACAGCATAGAACCAGAAGACAAGAATAGTTTATACTCTTCATTCTCTCATTCAGCAAATATTAAGCACCTACTGTGTGCCAAGCACTATTCTAGGTGAGAAGAGCTGAGACAGAACTGACAAAATCCTTGCCTTAGTGGAATTTACATTCTAGGGGATGGAGATGGACAAGAAACAGGTATAAAATATGGCAGGTAGGGGTAACACTTTAAAAAATAGATATTTGAGGGGAAAGAATCCCAAGCAGAGGCAGCGGCTAATGCAAAAGCCTTGAGGTAGGAACATGACGGGAGTGTTCAAGGAACAGCAAAAAGCCAGTAAAGTGCGGTTGGAGCAGATTAAGCAAGGAAGAAAGTGGAACCAAACCACAGAGCGTCTTTAAGGAGCTGGCATTTTATGCCAAGTGAGACAGAGCTACTGCAGGGTATTGAGCGGAGGAGTGATATAACCTGACTGACATTCTAACGGGCTCGCTCTCTCTCCCTCTGCTGTGTGGGGAACAGACTCTAAGGGGACAAGAATGGAAGAAAGAGGCCTACCAGCAGGCTGCTGTAAGGATGTGGCTGGTTTACATTTGGTTGGTCACAGTGGTGGTGGCGATGAAAAAAGGCTCAAGGATTTCAACTTCTCTAACAAAGACAATTTTAAAAGTTATCACTAGACAACTTTTTTCTTTCTTTTTTTTAATCTTGGATGAGAAACTGGCTTAGAAGTAGAAAATAAAAAGTAGGAATATTAATGGCTTCTCAGGGTTGAACAATGTTAATGGCATCCTCTGGGAATCAGTGTTGTTTAACATTTCATAAATGATTAAGAAAAAGAAATACTTTGAGACTTTTCTAGGTACACAGATTATACTCTGCTTTCCACATAGTGAAATGTCAAGTCAATTGGGAGTGTCTCTTGGAACATTTCTAAAGCTATATGATTAGGCTGGAAAGTGGCAGATGACTTGCTATGCTGACAACTCTAAAGCTGTTCACATAGGAGGAGATAATTCAGGTGACATCTTTAAGATAATGAACTCTGGACTGCCAGCTGCCCCCAAGGAAAGGGATCAGAAACTGCTGTAGGTTATTCCTTCAAGACATCAGCTCTTGTAAAATCCAAAATGCCAGTAAAAGTTCTGGTGGTTTCAGAATAATGACAAATACCTCAGCTTCAACAAAAACCTCAGGAACTCCCTTATGGATCTCAGTATGCAGTGCTAGTCACTGCATCCTATGAAAAACAACAGCCAAGGAAAGGTCACTAAAATGATTAAAAGGATAGAGGGACTTTTGTTTGATGGGGGATATGTCTATAAATATGAATATCTGAGACAAAACAAGATGAACGTCTACAAAAACATGAGACATTCAGAGAAAATTAAAATAGCCCTTTTCATGAAATCTCGTGATTGTGAAATTAGGGGACAAAACAGCTTAAAAATGGGGGTAATGTCTATGAAGAAAGAGGCCATTAGTGGGCCTATTAAAAAAGGTCCTTTAGACCTTCCAATATGTGGAAGGACTGTGCTAGCGATAACCAGGAGCCGGGGATGAGAAACAATCAGCCCACTTCAAGAGTCCTTTGATGGGACAGAAACTACTTTGGACTAGCATGAGCTGCCTGCCCCCCACCCTCGTCCCGCCCCGCCCCCAGCCCCCCATCACTGTGGTATACAAGGACAGAAACTCAAAAAGGGCAAAAAACGCTTGTGACAAGACTTTCAAAGGATTCAAAATGCTAATATTAAATCTCATTCTAAGTCAAAACTAGATCGAAAATAAAATCAAGGGTGAAGATTTATAGTAGATTAATAAGGGATTAAGGATGTCCATTGGCGGTCTGAATTGGATAGATAAAGAAGAATATTTCCTGAACAGTTTGTCCGCATCTAGGTTCTCTCGGTCAGAAAGTGACGGTTACTGGTTGAAACATAGATTTGATCATCTGAATTTCAGGCATGGCACAAGTCCTTTCACAGGGATCAATTATCTGAGGAGAGAGAGGCTCTTATGAACCAACCGTTAGTCACGTGTTGTGTTGAACAGTTAACAACGCTGGACCGTCGGGGTCAGTTATTGATTTTCCTCCACCGATTGAAAAAATCAGAGTCCGAACGGAACGAGGGTAGTGGGGCGGATAATAACCAGAGTGTCGTTGAATTGGGAGATGTTAAAAATGGGCAAAAACCAATACATGGGCCCTTATATTTAGGTCAAAGATTTATATACATAAATATATATTCTATCTCTTTTCAAAAAACATTTGACTCAAGACCTCATCACCCCCAAAGAAAACAGCACCTTCTCCTTCTTCCCATAGGTCGCTTTCTTTACCTGCTTCTTCCCCGGCCCTGGAGAAGGAACTTTCAGCCCCGCCTCCCAGCTCGTCCAAGCTCCGCCTTCTCGGTTCACCTGTGTGCCCAGCCCCTGACGTCACTGTTCGGCTTCAGCGGCCTGCAGGATTCTGGCTCCCGATTGGTCCGTCTCTCACAGCCTGCGCAGCCCACCAATGGCAGCGGCGGTGGGTTGGGGGGTGCCCACATCCAAGATGGCGCCCCCGGGAGCTGGGAGCGGGTGACCGGCAGCGGGGAAGCGGCCTGAGCTGGCCCTGCGATTGCGGGGTCCTGGGGGCATTTCGCTGGGTAACCCCCTGGCCCGCCTACAAGGCCTTCTCCGGGCCGGAGCAATGGCCGCCGAGAATAGCAAGCAGTTTTGGAAGAGGAGCGCCAAGCTGCCGGGGAGGTGAGCCCAGGACGCTGAGAGGAAGAGGAGATTGGACCAAACCCTTCTAAATCCTAAACCCTAAATTCCGCGGGCCTGGGGCGCCAGCGATCCAAGAATGCTGGTTTGGAGAACCTGGGCGTGGGGCGGGGGGGAGCTGGGACTGCCTGGTGGCGGCAGGACGGCTGTCAGGCAAAGGAGTGGGCGGCGAGCTTTGGAGATGGTTGGGTGTGGGAGCAGACCCTGGTCCGGGGGCGTCGGGCTCTTGAGGGGCTTCCCTCAGCCGGGAGGTGCCCGGAGTTCTCGCCTAGGGGGCAGAGGAGTTGGGTGAGTAATCAGTGTTGGTTCTGGGTTTGGAAGGCTATCCTCAGAGGTGCTTCTCACTTTAAACAGAACTCCTCCTTGAGGGGGCGGGGGTCTTCACCACGCACAGGTGGTTGTTTGCACGAGGATGGCCCCTTCACTTGCTCCCCCACTCCTGCACGTACGACTTTTTCTTCTGGACTCCTAGAAAGGTTCTGGTGGGAGCTTGAGACCGTCTGCGGGGGTGTCGGGGGGTGGACACGAAAAGTGAGGAAAATTCTTCGACTCCAACTTAAGATATCTTGAGTTGGTCCTTTCCCATTAGGAATTATTACAGGGTAACTTAGCATTTTCTAAGGATTTGTCATACCCCAGTGGCCTCTTCTCCTCTGCCTGGTAGTGTACTTCTTGTGCAGATGCATTAAATTCTTTCATTCTAGAGTTGTTTAGGTGGAGAACAGATTATTTCTAAAATAATCTCGTCCCGTCCCACCCCTTTTTGGTATACGTTGAGACTTTTAACAATTGTCCATTCATCAGTCTACTGTTGGTTTATAGTTTCAGTTTGTTTAGGGGTAGTGCTGAGAAGTAAAAGGAGGAGTGTATATTTCAATCTTAAATTTAAGATTTTGGCCAGGCACAGTCTGTTTGATAATGAAATTCATGATTGATTGTACCCCATGTGCTACCCTTCCTAGCTGATTGATAAAGGGATAATCCTTTAAACCTGTAGCTTTTTTGGTTTGTTTTATCAATAGCAAGAGAGAAATCAGGGTCAGTGGTGGCTATATAGTGGACTTATTTATTGATAGGATCCTGTTAGACAGTCGGGGATCAGTTTTTCTTAATATAGTAAAAAAAAAAATAGGGTAAGGGAATTCAGAAATAACTTCAGATTGAAATATGGAATAACAGTGCTAATGCTAAAGACTTCTATGTTTTTAGATATGCACCACTTCCTGCCTACTGATTCCTTTTCCTTCCTGGTCTAGGGAGCTCTCCAGTCTGGCTAACTGCTGTTCTCCGGGGTTTTCCATGGTGAGATCATTAAATTTTGACATCAAAAGTGATCATCAGAATCTATGGGAAAACTGTTAAATCAGGGAGCAGTATTTGAGGTGTGGGACATGGCATAGTCTTTTTGTGCCTACCAACTGCTGGTTGTTACTAACAGTTTTTATTTTCTATATTTCCTCTTTTGGATTGTAGAAGCAGTCATCTTTTTTGCAGAGCACTATTTTTTGTGAGATAGGAAGAGGAATCTTTTCAGTTTCTTCAAGTTTATGGCTTCCTTTTTCATTTTGAAGAGGAATATGAAAGGATAGAGGAGAGAACATTTGAGTTCTGAAAGCTTTGGATTATTATTGGAGTGTTATCTGTGTGAGCAAGGACAATTAATCTCTTTAAGCCTCAGTTTCCTTATCTGTGAAAAGAGGATATAAATACTTTCTTCAGGATTCCTGTGTGGATTGAATTAAACATCTTATTTGTGAAGAACCTAAAACAATGTTTATTTATATTTAGCACATTATAGTTGCTCAATAAATACTAGTTATTAATGTTTCTGTTATTGTTAGAGAAAGTATACATTTAAAAGAATGTTTCTCTGATCCTTATTCCAGTAAGAGGTATTTATGTTTATTGTTTATCTTAAGACATTAAAATGTTGCCATGATTCATAATGGTTTTTAGTACCTTGCTTGTTGAAGAGAAATATTGCTCAACTATGTGCTTTTAGCAAGGAAGCCCTAGGAGCCCTTGATTATGGGAGAAAATAAAAAAGTGCTTTGATGTAAGGAAAGTATTAGTACATTTTCTCAAGAATAGAACTTTTGCATTTGTACTCTCTCGGTCATAATGAAGAAAAACTTTGTCTGGGTGGAGCAGTGACACAGATAACTGTCTCGGTCCATGGCAACTTAGAAGTGGGGCTAGCTTCCTCTTTGCAAATTGAAAGGTAAAAATCCAGAATGATAGCAGATGACTTCCAGTTTCTTTGATCATGATCCAGCAACCTTAATTACAGCAAATAGGAATTTTGTGTAGTAAAATAGCCTCAAGTTCAAAACGAATTAAACATCCTTTTGTGAAATAACAGCTTTATTGAGATAATTCACATATCATAAAACTTTACCCTTTTGAAGTATATAATTTGGTGGTATTTAGTATATTCATCTAGAGTATAAATGGTTTTGTGCAGCCATCAACACTAATTTCAGAGTATTTTCATCACTCCGAAATGAAACCTCATATCCATTAGTAGTCACTCCTCCTTCCCCCCCACTCCCTCTGGCCCTTGGCAACCACTGATCTTTTGGTTTATATGGATTTACCTATTCTGAACATTTTGCATAAATGGAATAATGTAGTAAGAGGCCTTTTGTGACTGGTTTCTTTTAGGTGTAGTGTTTTCAAGGCTCATTCTTGTTGTGGCATGTATCAGAATTTTATTCCTTTCACGGCTGAATAACATTCCTCGTATGTATGCACCTCGCTTTGTTTATCCATTCGTTGGGTGATGGACGTTAGAGCTGTTTCCACTTTGGGGCTCTTATGAATAAAACTGTGAAATCCGTGTGCAGGTTTTTTTGTGTGAAAGTATGTTTTCCATTCCTTTGACTATATGTAGAAGTGGAATTGCTTCATATAGTAATTTGATGGAATTAAACATCTTTATAAGTGCTCTCAGTTATTCATAAGAGCCCCATGTGCTTAATATATCAAATGGTCCTTGTGTGGATGCCTAGGAAGGCAGGAGGCAGTATGTACCATGTGTTTAAAAATACAGGCTATGGAAACTTGAAACTAGTAGATAAATAAGTTCTGGAGACTTAATGGACAGCATAGTGATTATAGTCAACAACACTGTATTATAATCTTCAAAGTTGCTAGGAGACTAGCTCTTAATTGTTCTTACCACAAAGAAGAAATGTTCATTATGTGACATGATAGAAGTGTTAGCCAGTGCAACAGTAGTAATCATATTGCAGTAGAGCTGTCCCTCTGTGTCTGGGAGGGAATTGGTTCCAGGACCCCCTTGGATACCAAGATCTGCAGATGTTCAAGTCCTTTATATAAGGTGCATATCTATGGATTTTCATCCATCCACAAATTCAACCAACTGTGGATCAAACTTCAGAGAGAGACTGTAAGTGTACCGAACCAACAGAATGTACATCTTAAACTTACACAAGATTATGTGTCAATTATATCTCCAAAAAGGGAGAAAACATGGGAAAGAATGCAAGCTCTGGAACCTGACTGCCTGGTTTCAAATCTCAGCTCTGCCGCTTTCTGTGTGACCTTGGGCAAATTACTTAACCTCTTGGTGCCTTAGTTTCCTCCTGTAAAATGAGGGCAGAGTGAGTACCTTATAAGGCTGTTATGAGAATTAAATGAGGTATTGCATAGAAAGTGCATAGAAGGTGCTCAATAACATAAGCCATTATGAAAATGCTAGTTGTGATTACAGTAGCTTCTATTTTTATTTGTTTCTCCTCCTTGCTCTAGTTTCAGAAACTTGAATTGAAGAACTTTGATCAGTGGCATGTCTGGAGCCCCCCAGTGAGTCCTGGGTGGAAAAAATACTGCCTGTTGTTAATTAGGCAGAGGGTTTATGGGAGCACAAAAGAGCCTAATGCAGGGTCACTGTGACTGCCAGAGGTTCATTAGCAATGAGGGGTATGATTTTGAGCAGTGCTTCTCAAACTTTAATGAGTCACCTGGAGGGGCTTGTTAAAACATAGATTGCCAAGCCCCACTTCTGAACTTCTAATTCCGCCCATCTGAGGTGGAGCACCAGAAGTTGAGTTTCTGAGAAATTCCCACAGGGTACCACTCCTGCTAATCTGGGAGCTGCACTTTGAGAACCACTGAGAAAAGAGCCTTGAATTAGATTGAAATAAACCTGATTTCTGATGCTGGATGCTTTTCCCCAGTGGATATTGAACAATTTTTTCTGGCCACACCGTGTGGCCTTGGGATCTTAGTTCCCGGATCAGGGATCAAACTTGTGCCCTCTGCAGTGGAAGCATGGTGTCTTAACCACTGGACTGCCAGGGAAGTCCCTGGATACTGAACAATTAATGCATCTCTGTTTTGCTGTCTAATAGCACCTCTCACCTAACGCATCCAAGCCGAATTTTTGATTTTCACCATTTGCCCACTCCTGCAAATCTACTCTGTCCAGTCTCACGTAAATGGTCCAGCCATTCACCAAATCCCTTGGACCAAAAATCCTAATGTCTTTCATTCTCTTTCTCTTCCTGCTACATCCAGTTCACTAGCAAGTTCTGTGTTGGCTTGTTAGAATATATCCTGAATATGAGCAGTTCTCATTACTTCTACTCCCTACTTCCAGGGTCAAACTGAGTCCTCTCTTGCCTGGACCACTGCTGTACCTTCCTCATTGGTCTCCTTGCTGTGAGTGGGGGCTTCCCTTGTGGCTCAGCTGGTAAAGAATCTGCCTGCAATGCAGGAGACGTGGGTTCGATCCCTGGGTTGGGCTGTGAGTGGAGTCGGTGCCCCTCACCCCCATTGTTCAAATCAGCTGTAGTTAAGAGTCTGCTGCAGTTAGTACAGGGATAGGCCATGAGGTCTTTGACTGGGGTAATGGCAATAAAGGACAAGTTTGGGACTTGGTAAATCACTGGACTTGGGGAGTGAGGGAGAAAAAGGGGCTTGAAGGGAGGTACCCTCAGGTTTCTGGCTTAGGTGGT